GGATAAAATCCCACAAGCAGCAAAAACACAGCAATTCCCCCCCCCAAAAAAAAGTAACCAAGATGCGTTGCCTTTCCAAGACACCCTACATCTTTTGCTTAGGGCAACACCTTCACTCTGCCTAATAGCAGAGCTGGCTCTGTGAGAAATAATAAAGAGCAATTTCAAGCATGCACAAATTACCTTCCTTCACTCTGGGTTGGATTTAGGGTTTGTGTTCCATACAAAAAAATAGTTCCATGCATAGAAAGTGTATCTGACCAGTTTCTACAGATCTTTCTTTTGTGGCCCCAATACACAACAACGTGCCTCATTCAGGAGAAGAACTGCAGGGTCTGCTGTGAAGAGGATGTGGTGGGGAAAAACTGAACTTCCACTAGCTTAGTAGTACATATATACATTTTGAGCCAGTCCACTGAATATCTACAGCTATCCTCTGTGTACTTAAAATTAGAAGCAAGGGCTTCTAGGTCAGATGGCATGATCTTTAGGCATATGTTCTGTGCATAGCCATCTTCCTTTGTAAATCCTGTTCACTTATTTATCACTGGACATATTTCAGTCTAGATACCAAATGTGCAAGTACAACAGCCACATGACTAATTCAACAAAAACTTCCTTCTTTCAATTGGCTAACTAATGGCAGGCACAATTGTCCATAGTTAAAATGTTTTTAAACCACACCCAAAAGGCTTGAGGAGGGCCATTCAAATTTGGCACATCCCGGGGTCAATTTTCTCTCCTGTATCCTCCAGACCACTGCAAATGCAAACAAACAAACAAAACCACCCAACAACACGACGTAAAACAAAAAACAGCAGTTGTAAATCTATGGCCAGAATCTTACTGGATATTTACACGTACATACATACATACAATCATGGAAGTTGTGGCATATCAGTCATGCCCTTGATCACATACCTGATTGCACACTTCCATGCTACTCACATTCCATTCAATAATATTTGTCTCATTTCCAAGTTTGAAAGATTGGTGTTTGCATGTGCACTTTTTAAATACTGTAGTGCTGTGATCAATTTCAAAAGTGAACTACTCCCAGAAGCTTCTTTTTTGTTGGAAATAAAAAGAGGGCAAGGAGGACTGGGGGCAATATGTGGCCTCAGAGGTACACATTGCCCATGGTTACCGAGCCCTGCACCAGAACTTCTAAAACCTGAGTCACAGGTGATGTGGGGGTTCATCACTCAGAATCCTCAGCCAGTATGGCCAATGGTGAGTAGTGGTAGTAGAAGTAATTTTAGAACTGCAGAGTTATTTTGCAGCAGGTTGTCAAACAACATCTCAAGATCCAAAGTTAGAAATCATTGGCTGAGAGTGGAAAGGAAAAGGACACAATTGATCGCCAATACAGTGGTGCCTCGCATTACGACATTAATTCGTTCCAGCGAAATCACTGTAGAACGAAAACGTTGTAATGTGAAATAAAAAAGCCCATAGAAACGCATTAAAACCCAATTAATATGTTCCTATGGGCTTGAAACTCACCATCCAGCGAAGATCCTCCATAGCGCGTCCATTTTCGCTGCCCGTGCAGTGAGGAATCCGTCCCAGAAAAGAGCGGGGAGCCATTTGCGATCGCAAAAAGTTTGTCACAATGCGATTTCATCCTTAAACGGGGCGCTCGTCGTGCGAGGCACCCCTGTACTCATAAATACTCAGCTATCCAGCAAACAGCAACAGAGCATGGACAGAGCTCCTACTCCAGTCCTCTGAAGATGCCAACCACAGAGACTGGCGAAACGTCAGAAAGAACAACCTTGAGAACATGGCCCAAGAGCCCGAAAAACCGACAACAACCATTAGATCCCAGCCGTGAAAGCCTTCGCGAATACAAACTGTCAAACTCTTTGGGAGAGCCTCTTGAACTGTTCTGAGGACAGCAGTGGGTCTGTAGCTTCCAACTGTCTAGACAGGCAAAAAGGAAAGAAGAAAGGCTGCCTATTTGCTTTCTGAAGAACCAGGTGTCCTCTTGTTCATCTTATTTGCTATTCTCACTGGTCACACTGACTAGAACTGTCAGGAATTCATGCTAGAAAACATCTGAGGATCATTTTCTCCAGATGTTCCCCAACCCCCTCGAAGGCTGACTAGAACTGTCAGGAATTCAAGCTAGAAAACATCTGAGGACCATTTTCTCCAGATGTTCCCCAACCCCCTCCTTCTAAAATCTGAATTTTATGAGGTAAGATTTTTCACTGTTGCATCCCCTAACACTCACTGGTGGCACTTATCTACAAGGCCATAGCGTGGATTTGTCAGCGACAGACATTCATTCCTCCTTTTCTCTAGAATTCTCCTTACTGGAAGATCAGACTGACATCTACATTCCACTGACCTACCTTCACTCTCAGTCAGACATTAGAGGGAAGAAAGGGAAGGTGTGAAGTCCACCCTCCTGACATTGATTTGGAAGCAAAACTCTACTGTTCAGTTGCTTCTGTAGCTGGCAACAACCTCTGCTCCAAAACAGATGGAGAGCATGATGGCACGATTAGCAACCAGAAGTTGCTGGTGTTAGCAGCAGGGCATTCAGTGATTGGTTACAAGCTGGAGTGGTGGAAGATGCATTTTGCCAGGTTCTCTCTCTCCCTCTCTCTCTCTCCAGCAAATTGTTAATTTTAAAATGACTTTAGTGAAGAAAACTGGAACAGAGAGATGCAGGAAAATTAGAGGAGCAGCTCTAAGGAGGAGACCTCATGCAGCAGTGGTAAAAAAGAACTGAGGTGCCTGGAAGGCAGGCGGACCTCGTGGATGGGAGAGGGGCGGTCCTACTCAGATTAGCATAAAGCTCTAGAATATTCCGGAGATCTCTGCGCAGGCACAGAGCTAACCCATTAGTGTGCATTCACAGAGACCATGAAGAAGAATCCACCCCCACCAAGCCATTACCATGGGATTAAAGACCATTCTGGCAGCGCCAACACAGTACAGAAGTGTCCCTTTATCTCCCCGTGCCACAATCTTTACCCACAGCATCCCTTTCACAGCCACCTTGCTGGGTGGAAGAGTTGAATGGAGTAAGGCTCTCCCATGCCTGTCTCCTGATTTTGTGTACAGCCCTGCTGCTGACTGAGACCTCCTGGCCCTCTCTATATACTGCACACTGATGGTATACTTGTCATTTCAACAGGCAGCACAAATGCTTCTTATATTGCTGGGATTAATGGAAGCAGTGCATGGTGCTCAGGAGGCCCTACTGGGCTTTCCTTCAGCAACATCCCAGAATTGCAGCTTCTTTCTTTTGTTCTGTTCATCCAATTGAAGTTATTGGGAAGGGATCAGTCGACATCTCTGTGGTTCCATTTAGTCATCTGCATAAACTTACCTGGGTCTTTATTTTTTACATAGTCATAGTGTACTTTTTGCCTTCAGTCTTTGATTATGCTTCTAAATACTATGCACATAAATAAAATTATTGTCCAAGTTCCTGAGATCCACTGCAACATTACTTTTCTTTACAATTCTACAATGTGTGTGTGTAAGCTATGATAAGGGAAGTGCACAAAAACCTAAAGCAATCATGAGTCTAGGAAACGTCAACATTGCCAGTCATAGAAACATTTGACCTTTTTCAAGTACTGTAGTTCTGCTTCTTCTGTGTACCAGAAATGTGTCTTAAGAAAGCCTGTAGCTTCAGCTGTTGTTTTCTGTCTGTTCCCCTACTTGAATTTAAGTAACAGACATCAGAACCTTAAATGTTTAACCCTAAAGTCATGGATAATTTCTCAGAGAATGATACACCTGCAAGTAAAACTTTGCTTGTTTCCAAGCTTACTGAATGCCCATTTCAGCTGCTAAGTTCTTTAAGTAATTAATAACGTTATTTTTTTTTAAAAAAAAAATTAAAGTGAAACATTTTAGGGGACAAAAGAATAACGTTGGTAAAAATAACATAAGAAAAATAGTAGCGATAATAATAATTGCCTGCCATCGAGTTAATTCCGGCTTATGGTGACCCTTTTCAAAGTTCTCTAGGCATGGAATACTTAGAAGCAGTTTATGATTCTCTTTTCCCTGGGGTTGCTATGGGACTGCCCAACTTGCCCAAAGCTATATAGGCTGCCTCTGCTTGTAGGAGGCACTGCGGGGAATTGAACTCCCACCTAAACTTGCTGAGATATTCAGCCATCTAATATGAGAGAAACAACCTTCCAAAAGATCAGATTCCAAACAGGGTGTCCAATTGCTAGAGGGGCTAATAGTCTGAATTATTTGTCGAAACTAATAACTGACACAGAAAGAAGGGCCATAAGCAAGTCCCCTTCCTGGCTAAGGACCAGCAGAAGGGAGGGGCCTGCAAGGGAGGCCCCCCCCCGTTCCTGGGAGGAGGCACTGCATGGCAGCCCCAGTGCCTGTCGCATTAAGATTACAGAGAGAACTCAAGAGTAAGGCCGGCTAAAAGGAAAAGCAGCTCTAGGCTTTTGCTATCCTGTTAAAGACTTTACAAGGATCAAAATGTGAAGCAATTGGCTTGCTCTGGGCACATTTCTGGACACACCAAAGCAAAGGATCGAGATGTTCTGGCTGTCTCAGGATGGAGGCTGCATATTGAGAGGCTTATCAACCAACATTTGGGTTCATAAAATAAAAAAAGGATGGAGGCACAAGCCGCTTGGGAGGGAGTCATGCCTACGCTAGGCTTTTACACTATTCCTACAGGCGCAGGTCCTGTTGATATATAGATGAGAGAAAGGCAAAGTCTGCACATGTTCAGAGACAAAAGATTTCTGTTTTGTTGTGCCAGACGTTCCAAGTCCTAGCCATAACCCTGAAACTCGGCATCATGGGGGTTCCCGGTGTTCGCCTAATACTTCTACCATGTGAATCACACTATTATTTAAGAAAACGTGCTCGTCCTATCTCCCCGCTGTTTTCCCTCTTCAAAACCACTGCCTGCCCCAACGTCCTCTCTCTCTGGCCTGCGCTGAGAAACCTCTTCACTTCGGGGAGAGAGAGAGAGTTGGCGGCAAGTTTCCTACCTGCTCCTCTTCGGTGCGCGGAGAGCGCGGGATAGCGTAACCATGGCCTCTGGGAAGGATCGATGGCCGGAGGAGAAACCCCGCTCCCCGCCAAGAGAGAAGGCGCCAGGCGGAATCCGAGGGTTGCCCCTTCAGAGGCGCCCTGTGGCCGCGAGTCCCGCCGGATACATCCCGAGGACCAGGATACTTCCCGCGCTCGCAATCTTTGCCGGTCCCCTGGAAGCAGATACGTGAGACTCCCGTCCTCTGAGTCCCTCACAAGAGAAACGCGCCTCTTCCTTCGGGGAGCCGGGCTCTCCGGTGCTCTTCGGCTCTGGGCGGCTTCCCTCGTTCTCTGGAGGAGAAGGGCGAAAGGTTGCGGGTGCCTCTGAAGAGTTGCGCCCGGTTCAGCACCAGCGGTCGTGGGCAGCTCCGAGCGGGAGGCACCGACGGGGAAACCGGATTTAGAACGGCGGCAGCCTCCGCTCCTCCGTCCCGGTGTCGCCGCTCCTCTCTTCTCCTCTCTTAACACCGAGCGCGCCTTTTTTTTCTCCCTCCTCCTCCTCCTCCTCCCTCTCTTGTGCCTTAATCTGCCTCAGGAGGAACCGAGAGCGCAGGATAAGCTGCCCGCTCCTCAAGGCTGCCGCCGTCCTGCACTCGGAGCGCTGGCTCCCGCAGTCAGCGAGCAAACCCCCGCTGTCCCCTCGTCTCCCGCCCCTCAGCGCGCGCACACACTCCCCAGGCCACCTTTCTGAGGTCAGAGTGGCAGCCTCCACACTTACTTAGAGAACGGATGCAGTGACGAGGAGGTCAGGGTTTGCCACACACACACAAAAAAGGCCGTGCCTTCTCCAAGCCACTGCAGAGGGAATGGCGGACAAGCGCCCTTAAACCAGTTTGCAGGTTTGGTTAAGGTGCTGTTGACCATTTTTTCATTCAGCATCGACAAGCCAATTCATCAGTGAGCCACCCAACTGCACTGAATGGGTAGTTGTTCCCAAGTATGGTTCTTAGGTGAGAGGACTTACCTCAGCCACATTTGCAAATGTGTAATGTTTTGTTTTTTCATCTTCTTCTGGCATTCATACCTTTTATATACTCACCTATTTTTGAAGTGTATATATGAAAACATCTTGATGTACATTAGTACAATATGTGAAATCTTCTATAATCTTAAAAATCTGTTAGTACCTTGAACACGCTTGATCTCAGTCTGGATGTTAAGCAGGGTCAGGCCTAGTCATGATTTGGAAGGGAGATCTCTACGGTGTACTAGGGAATCTCCAGGTAGGGACAGGGAAGAATCTTGCCCTTAAGCCCTTGGAAACTACTGTTGCCCCTTCAGATTGATGGTACTGGACTAGCTGTCAATCTGAAGCATCTGATTTGGTATAAAAGTTTGATTTCAGCCACACTCTATGGCCACCATTTAGTGGAGAAAAAGCTTTCTTTTTTAACCAGTCACATCTACAGGTCTGTTGTACCTGCTCAGAATACCAATGTTCCACAAAGCCTGCCTTGTTTGATGGGGGATGTTGTTCGTTGACATAGATTTCATCCTTCCTGGAGCAAAACAATAAAATTTAAATCTACAAAACGTTTATCATTTATTCACTTTGGTTTTCCATTTGGGCATTTTAGCATCACAGAAGTAGTTGAGGGCTTTCCCTTGTCCCCTGTAGTCTCCTGCAGCTACTATAGGACAACAAACCTGGGCCTGGCTGTTTCAGGGAGGGGCAGGAAGTAAACCGCACCATAGAGTGGTTTCCCATTACACTCCATTACTTCTTAAAGCTTATCTAATGGGAACAGCATGGTTTCTTCACAGTAAAATGTGAGGTATAATTTTAAAAAGAAAATACATGCTGTCAGAGCAAATACAAAACTCAGGCTACTTAACTTCATAAAGACTGCAAGCCCAACTTTCAGGCGGGTTGTTTATTGTTTAAGAGTTCATGTACTTTTCTGTGCCAGTTAATCGTTGATTAGTATCCTACTTCTTTTGTGATTGCTCTGATTTTTCCCACCCACATCCTTTGATGGTTCTCCAGGCAGCATAGTAACTCATTCTCCATAGCAGTCTATCCTTCTTCACATTTGAATTTGGCCATGGCTCTCTGTTCTTCACATGTCAGAAATTAAAAAGGAGCAAGAGGTGAGTAGGAAAGTGGTAGAGATAAAGATCCTCCAGTAAGGTATTTCTGGTCAAGAGTATTAATTCCAAATCCCAACACTATCCATGTCATGACTTCAACTCATTCTTTCAGGGTTTGCAAAACTTCTGGGAGATCTTTCAGAAGAACAACTATTTTGAGTAACACCATACAGTACTTCTACTAAGCTTATGACCTACATTCATAATTCTGGTGATAAACTTAAGTTGGATAATGTGGGGGAAAGGAATGTATCTGGAATTCAGTTTTCAGAATTTCTCAACAAGTTCTTCCTCAGACCCTATGGATATAATCCAGTTGCTTAGCATAGTAAATTGCAACCAGTGTAGGCCCACTCAATCAGTGGAATTTACAAAGGAATTGACTCACCAAATCCCCACTTATTCAATAGGCCTAATCTAGTTGTAACCTACTACATTTAGGCAGCAGGATTTCAGCTGTGAAACAGTCAGATGATTTTCTATTCTTTCCTGTTCTTTGCACTTCAGCCATCAAAAAGCCATAACCGCTTCACTTTTACATGACACTCAGCTTTCTTTTCTATAACCTCTAATATTCTGTGTAACTAATCTCTGTACAACAGGTACTCACGCCTGATCATTTGGTACACTGGCTAGGCCTAATGAGAGTCAATGTCCAGAAACATCTAGAGAGCTACAAGTCTGTCACCCATTCTTTAGAATTATGTTATTCTACCTCACAAAAACCAACAAAGATCCAACTATCTTGGCTTCTCTTTCTGAGGCAATAAAAACTAGATAAAAAACTCCTGCAAAGAATCAAAGGTTCTCAGATTTCATGCATAGTAATTTCCAGCACAGCTAGACAGATACTCGGTCCCACGACTCGAAGTGACAGCTAGAGTAATGGATTCAGACTTGGTCTGATCTGAAACCAAATCCTTCTGGTTCAAGATCTGAATATTTAAGGCAGCAATCACCAGCTTAGCAATTATTTTATAATCATACAAATCATACCCAGCATCAAGAGACAGATTCAGCCACTGGACTCAGCTTTTCTCCTTTACTTACTTACAGGTTTATTTCTAAATGACTCAGCAACACAAAGCATTCTTTGGGTACCTGAAAAATAAAAATGAAAAACATGGAGTATTAAAAGAATATTTTAAAAACCATATCATAAAATGTTAAAATATATACAGCAGAATAGAAACAAAATAAAACCAGTGACAGAAAAGAATAGTAGTGTAAGGAATTTCAAAAGCACTGTAATTAACAAGGCTGGGAAAATAAAAGTGGTTTCACCTGTGCTGAAAAGACTGCAATGTAGGTAACAGGCAAGCTCTTCAGAGAGTGTATTCCACCACTGTCATGCCACCACTAGAAAGGCCCTCTCCTTGGTGCCTGTTCACCTCACCTACAGCTCTGTCTTAGCTTGTTAACATATCCATAGGCATCCTTCAGTCTCAAGAGACTATGGTAACATGCTCTGTATCGAGAAGTGTCCTCTCCAGAGCATGAAGCCTAGGTAAAGTAGTATGGAGGACAGGCTGTTACCCAAGCAGCAAATCCCCCCTCTCCATGTTGTTAATGATGGTTCCCTGCAGTATTTTTCTGCTATGTGTAGTAAGGAAGGCTAGCTCAAGACATTTTGCTGCGTGAGGCAAAGAAAAAGCAGTCTCCCCACTTCACAAGCCCAAAGTGTGATACCCTAACCCAATCAAATTATTCCAGAGCTCAGTTTTTTAAAAACCCTCAAAAGTGTCAAAATTATAATCATAATAAATGTAGTGATTAACAATTTGCTGCCCTTTCATGATCCAGTCATCTCCAAACTTGCTTCCTCAACTGGCCACATTATTATGCCAAATTGAACAGCTGGCCCTGATATGGAATGCAAATAGTTGTCTCCATCACATAATACAGCAATTGAAGGCACATGAGAAATCTTGGATTTCTACTTCTGTAAACAAAACAGAAGCTTGTTCTAAACTTTGTTCTGAAATATGTAATAGAACCAACCATGGGTTATATTCTTCCATAATTCTGGTGTTTGTTAGATTCCAATTGAAGAACTATTGCTAGATAGCTAGCAATAATAAGGAAGGAGATTTCATAATCTTCATCACGTACTTCACTCAAATGTGCTGTGACGGATTCATTGACCTCAGGCCTGTGGTGGACACTACTTGAAAATCAGTTCTGGATTTTCAAGAGATGATTCATGCCTTTATACACAAACTAAATCTAATTCATATCCAAGAGTGAATGAAATTGTCGTAAGAGGAGTGTTGTATCTCTGAAAATGACATTTGATATTCAGTCATTTAAAAGTGAAACTACATTGCAATTCTATTCATGTCTACTCAGAAGTAAGTCCCCTTGCCACTACATTGCAATTCTATTCATGTCTAATCAGAAGTCCCCTTGAATTCAGTGGGGCTTAGTACTAGGTAAATGTGTGTAACTGTGCTTAACATTGCAATGTGATAAAAAAAATTTGCATGGAAAATTTACTTTCCTGAATTACTGTTCCCAAAACACCTTATCTATAAAATCTGCTGATGGCATTAAATAATAAGAAGAATTCACACTATCTATAAGGAGTTTTGGGTGGGGATGATTATTATTTTTCTTAATTAGCTCTCTCTTCTTGATTGCTGCACCATTTATTCCTTCAACAGTTCACTGCAAGGGAGGTGTTGTTAAATTGTGCTCTTAGGCTCTTTTGAACTCAGGCTTCATAACTGACATCTTGACACAAGGAAAATAATCATGAGAAAAACTAAATAACTGAATCATGTTTTTTCCCCTCATAGTCAAGCAACCTGCCAGTTCTTTATCAGAACTGCTCATTTTAACAAAGCTTCCACAGTTTGTGGTAGGTATATTAATTTGCATCAGTAATTACTTTTAG